GTGGAGACAGATACTATCGACGACTTTGTAGGAGCTAACTCAAGAAATGTACTAAATGGTACTGTTGGTGATGGTGGGCCTTCCACTGGCCCTTGGGGACGAGAACCACAGGTTTACGGTCAACCAGACACAGGCCTCATCTCTCCTCGAGAAGCCAAGTCAGCTAATGGAGAACATTTCGAGAAACCCGAACCATATCTGCGAGTTCGCATTACAGCCCTGGACCGGAACCGGAGAGACATTCTGATACGCTTTGATGCTCAGGCAAGTTCGCTCTAGTCCAACCATCGCGCCATTAGATAGCTTGAATAAACCCCAATCAAAAAATACAATTTCCGGCCGACTGACGCGACTTTAACAGACTAACTTATTAAACTTCACTGGGACGACCTATCGAAACATTTCACGTTCATACGCAGAGTTCCAGCGATTCTACGAACAAATTGTCTTCAGCAATCCGCAAACGATTATCCCAGCTTTACCCCTTGCTCAAACTTCAGCGCCGAGCGATGAAGAGGGTGAGCAATTGATCACGAGGACAGGGTGTGCGTGAGCTTATTCTCCCATAGATGATCGACTTGTCAAGGTGATGCTTCAACGTTGGTTCTCTCGAGTCTGTGAAGACCCTATTCTATTGAGTGATGAGGAAGTAAGATCCTTCATTGAGAGTGACTTTGGTGTCAGTTCATTTCGATACGTGTGCGGCATCAACTCTGATGAATCATATAGTATCAACCAATGCCTCGTACTCGACGAAAGACCTCTTCTGGATTTAGTATACTGGGTCGTCGACCCCCAGATGAGGATGAGCAGCTTCTGCAGGCTCGGTTTGAGCTCACCAAACTAGAAACCCAGTATATCGAGGCTGCCAAATCCGTTGACAAGCTTTCGCAGACTCGGAAAGGTAATGTCCTTCCAAGAGGGGTAAACTTGTATCTAATCATCCCAAAGCGATGTCATTTGCTCATGCCGATATGGGCAACAAGCTGATTGATGTTGCCACGGCAGAAGTTCACCCACCTCTGGCTGCCGCTACACGAAAGATGGGTCGCAGCTGGCATACGTATGCAGATCTAGACGCTGCCCAAGAGATCAGCGATCGAGTCATTCTCGGAGATTCCTTAGGGTATCAAGGTTTGAATGCTCGCTCTGCTAAAGTATGTCTTTTGCACATTGTCTACATTTGACGCTAACATAAGGGTCAAGGAAACACTGCTCCAACGAAGTCTTGTACTAGAGGAATATCAAGATGCAGTAAAGAGTACCATCGCGAAACGACGAAACATCGAACGTCTAAAAGCTAGTTCGAACATTCGCCCGGAACGAGTTGATGATGCCCTGGAAGAACTAGAAGAGGCAAATAAAGTAGAGCAGCACATTCATCGGCGTGTTGAAGGAATCTCTCAAAATCTCCAT